CGTCTTGTGCCTCGCCGGAGGCGCACACGCGAAGTGAGGAGGGCTGCTCGCGTGCACACGCCATGGACCTCCATCATGGGGCGCCGACGCGTCTCGTCTGCCCGGCCGCGTCACCAGACGGCTGCCTGCCTGCTCCCTGCCGACGCCATCCCGTGCTCGGGACACCGCGCCTACCACGCCCCAACGATGCTCCTCCAGGTACTCTCTCGCCCATCTTCGATTTGCTCTTCTTCCCCTCCCTCCCCTCCCCTCCCCTCCCTCACGTGGTTTTATTTTCTGTCCTCACGCAGGTGCGTGCATCGGACACCACCGGCGCCCAATCCTAGCCGCAACGCACACCATCCTTGTTGCTCATGGCCGAACCAAACACGATTGGCTACCAGAACAAGCTCCCTCGCTCGCTCCATGGTTCCCGCATAGGTGGTGGTTCCTCTCCTCTCCTCTCTCACCCTCACGATCTCTGTGCTTGAGGTTTGAAGCTCTAGTATGCTTAGAGTGACCGGTTTCATTAGTCTCTTATCGACAAGTTAACTGGACTATTTTGCTATATTTCCATCATACACCTTTGATTTATTTAGTGACTGCAGACTGTGATTATACAGTAGAAGTAGTTAGTATCTTTGTAGACTGCATATTATACAGTAGAAGTAGTTAGCCAATTTCTAGGGGCTGTCTGTTCACCTGTTAGTATCTCTGTAGACTATACATGCTTCAAATGGGGATGGCTTTTATGCTCCCTTGAATGCATTTTGATCTTAGTAGTACTTACCACACAGTAACAAAATAAGCAGCAGCCTGAGCTTTCAGGTTTAGGGTTTCTCTTGACACATACTAGCAAGCATGAACATGAAGCTGCGATTTTTTCTGATCCTCCAAAGACAGATGCTCATCTTTGTCTGCGCATTTTGCTACTTTTACGCCTTCTGATTTGGTTTGGCATCCTGAAAGACGCAATGCCAATTGGATCGGATGGTGACACGGTCATGATCTCCGTGATGTCATTCATAGTTGTGTCCTTTGGATACAACAATGCTTAGCTTGAGACATGTAATTATATTGGCTCATAATATGAATATCTATCTATCTATCCAGGCGATTAATTACTGAAACCAGCATTCTTCATAGACATAGGATTCCTGTTACATGAAGACCATCAAATGCCAATTGAAGTGTCAATTTTATATCATCGATGATTACTTAAAAACTAGTCCTGAACCTGCAAATTCCTTTTTTAATTCCCTAAATAATCTCTTCCAACTTGCAAGTTTCGACATATACATCCTTACGACACATTTGCTTAGTCTGGCGGTCTGCAGGTCAATCATTCACATGCTAGAATTAGTTCATTAACTATAGTGACTCACTCTTATCGTTTTTATCTATGCTAACTGTTAGCCTTTGTTGTGTGAGGCAGATTGCCTGCCATTTCCTAAGCAGGAAAATCTATCTTGACACTTCCTGCAGTCCTAATGGAGCTTCAACTGAACCTTTTTTTGTCACACACTAGCATTTTTTACTGATACTATGAGTGTACCGTCTGAGTTGCTGCTATCCATTCCCCCATGCATGAATATCTGGCGAGTGAGAATGATGAGAGAATTACTGATATCTATTTGCACGATGTATAAATATCTATCTATCCAGGCAAGAAGGGCGCCGCGGGCATTGAAAGGCCTGGTCAGACTCAAGTCTCTGGTCCAAGGCCACTCTGTCAAGCGCCAGGTCACCAGCACGCTTCGCTGCATGCAGACTCTGTCCCGGGCCCAGTCCAAGATACGGACGAGGAGTATCAAGATGGCCGAGGAGAACCAGGCCCTTCAGCGCCAGCTCTTGTTGAACCAGGAACTAGAGACTCTCAAGGTATGCAGCAAACATCATTAATCAATAATACTCTTTTACAGTACAACATTTTAAACCTCCATACGTGGTTAGTATTCTTAGGGGTAATTCCAGTACCCTATGTAGAACTGGATCTTAAACTATTTGTTGAACCAGAAATATCATTAATCAATAAAACTCTTTATTATAGTATAAAACATTTTGAACCTCCATACAGTTTACCGAATTCCTAGTGGTAGTTCCAGAATCTGATTTGAAACTTATCTAAAACATTTTGAACTGGATCTCAAACTGTCAGTTTACTGAATTCCTAGTGGTAGTTCCAGAATCTGATATGAAATTGTTAGTGTTGTTGATCAGAACTATGCGTTTACAATAAAACTTTTTTCAACCTCATAATATATTTATATAATATGTCTGTTCATAATATATTGGCTCTAGTGTTTTAATTCTTCTCTTCTGATTCATGTAACAGGGCGACGGCCGAAGGCATGATGATAGTTCTATTGCTGTTCTAGTGTAGCGAAGGTAGCCTAGTCGACTATGGTCGCCTAGTGAGTCGTGCATAGGATTTCATCTGACTGTAACCTTGATGTAAACTGCTCCTATTGTGGAGCTTGTTATCTGATTGTAAACTTGATGCTGATCACATTTGTATGTGTGTTATATGATGTAGCACTTTGATGGTTGATAATATTTGAAGTATTTCGTGTGTTTTCTGTGTGCCAATTTAAATACCAGGTATTTATTTGCGTGAAATAAAAAAATGAAGAATATTGCCCTGATGGCTAGGACCCAGTACTAGAACCTGACAATGGGGGACCCACCTGACTAGTGAACCCAATTTAGAAAAAAAGAAAAAAATGAAACTGTTGAGACAAAAAGGCCATGGGCCAAAAATAAAAAGGCTGCAATGTTGGGCTTGGTCCATGAAGCTGACAAAAAATTCACATGGAAAAAAAAATGGGCTGAATTAATGGGCTCGGCCCATATAAACACCGAATTGAACCGGGCTGATTCTTGTGCCACATCAGATTGCCACGTCGGATGCCTACATGGCCTGGGAAGGCTGCTAGTGACCAAAACGCCGCAGTAGGCATATTTTGGTCGTAAACATTCACGACCTTCTCACAGAGAAGGTCGTTAATTTCAGTTTACGACCGTCAGCTTTTGACCTTCTGTTTTTTGGTCACAAAAAGGTCGCAAATGAAAAACAATGACCTTTCGCTGAGCAATAGTCAAGGTCACACGTTGACATATTTCTTGTAGTGTTTGTCAATGAGCCTCGGAGGTGGCTCCGCTCATGGGCTCCCATCAATCACTTGTTTCCCAATGCCCAGATGCTTGCTGACGCCACAACCCGATTAAAGGCCGGAGGTGGCTTTAAGGGAGAGCACATTTGAAGGACCTGGGTGGAGCACCGTGTCCTCCCATTGAGGCCCCGGGAGGCACCCATGTACTTGTACAAGGGGCGAGAGGAGAGCCCACATGGGTATCCAAGAATGAGCTCCGGAAGGAGGAGGTTCGGCATCGGATCAGCGTCCTGACCAGCCTAGGGTCTGACTCGATCTCGATGGAGGTCACCATAGAGCCTCTTTTGTTCGGAGAACCCGATTGAAGGCCGGCGGCTTGAAGGGAGAGCACATTTGAAGAACCTGGGTGGAGCACCGAGTCCTCCCATTGTGGCCCCGGGAGGCCCCGATGTACCTGTACAAGGGGCCAGAGGAGACCCCACATGGGTATCCAATTAGAATGAGCTCGGGGAGGAGGAGGTTCGGCATCGGATCAGGGTCCTGACCAGCCTAGAGTCCGACTCCTCAAAGATCTGGTAGCAGCAACACCGATGAACAATCCCCTATTTAGCCAATGACTCTTAATAATTTGAACTGTCATTTGATAGTAGTTAGAATGAACTATCATTTGTTTAACTAGCTGGCACTACATGTTTAGATTGTGTGTGGTAAGCTCACCACTAGTTAGAAGTGGTGACAACACCTTATGCAGGTTGCAACCAAACACCATGTCATATGTGCGCCTAATGCAATGCGGGCAACCAAACGCCGGGTCAAAAATGGTTGTCTCCAACTAGGTACATGTAGGCAACCAAACTATGTGCATTTGTGGTCTTTTTGACTGCATCCCCTTAAACCGGCTCACTAGAGCCAGGCTCGGTTGGCAATGTAACCAAACACGCCCCTAGAGCACGCATGACACCAGCCTGCCACGTGGAAAGGCCCCGCGGAGTCCCGAAACAAGTGCCGCGACGTAGTGGGAGTGGAGTCCGTTTTGGTTTTGGACTAAGCTGGAATTTTAACAAGTTTTGACGGGTCTTAATGTATGATAGCCAAATAAAGGGAGGGTTCCCCGTCGTCGATCTCAATCAAATACTCCTATCCTAAAAGAAAAAACCCCAAGCTCGCTCCCCGCATCGACGGCGCCGACGCCTGCACCTCCCGCCGAGTCGCCTCCGTACCTGAAGTAGCACCACCACCAACCTTTCCCCGGATTCGACCAATCCCGTGTTCGGCGGGCAACCTGATTCCCCACCAAATTTGCTGCCCTAGAGCCTGTTGCGTCTGACCTCGGTATCAAGATCCATGGCGCTCCCCGCTCTTTCCTTCCAGCCCTCCACCCTGATGGGCTTAAAAGCCGCCGACTCCGCCTCCGGATTCCCCGACTGGGTCTTCCTCTGCGAGGAGCCGCGTTTCTCGGAGCGCCGGAACGAGACCACCGCCAAGTGCCGGACCAGCGAGGGCCAAGCCGTGGAGGTGTCCTTCTGGCTCGTCGACCCGCCGGGCGTCTCCTACTTCACCTTCAACTGCCCCGGCCTCGACCCCTCTGTCTTCCACGAGAAGGAGCCGCCCTCCCTCGTCTGCGCCGCGGCCGCCTTCGTCGTCTTCTGCCTCTCATTCAGGGGCTCCATCCACCACTTCGTCTACAGAGCCGCCCCCGCAGGGAAGCAGTGGCTGCAACCGCTCCCGGACCGGGACCGGGACCCCAGCTCCACGGTCTTCAGGAGAACGGGGTTCGGCCTCTTGCCCTGCGCCGACGGCGAGCACTACGCCGTGACCTACATCGACCAACATTGTCTTGGCAAAGATTCTGATTGGTGGTTCCATGCGCACGTCTTCTCGTCTGAAACTCGGGCGTGGAGCAGCCACAGGCTGTCGTTGCGGCACTTATCCAAGTCTGAGAGGCTCATGTGTTGTCGTCATGGCTTGTCACGGCAGATCGCTGTAGCAGGCTCACTGGGCTGGGTTAATCTCATGAGTGGTATCGTCCTTCTTTGCAACCTGTTGGACGGGAATCCTGTCATCAAATTTATCCCGTTCCCTGAATCAAGGGTTAGCTTTCTCGACGAGGATGGCCACCCTGAGCTCGCCCCTCAGTATTATTGCAATGTTGCCTGCTCCGGCGATCTCATCAAATTCATCGAGGTAGAATTTGATGACCCTGTTGTCAGGACCAGCGGTATAGGTTGGAGAGCCACTGTGTGGGAGAGGAAGATCTCCTGGGACAATTGGGAGATCCGCTCCACTGTCGATGTTGCTAACATCTCAGTTGACCAAAGTTTTTCTGCTGTATTGCCTGGGCTGTGGTGTGATGAGACCCAAAAACTGGACTTGAAGAAACTGATTTTCTATACTCCGCTGCCGAGCAGGCGTGATGACGATCTTTTTTACATGGTGGCTAAGGTGAATGCTGACGACGAGACTGCCTGGGCCATTGCAGTTGACATGGAAAGGGCAGCTGTGGAAGCAATGACCCAGTTCTCTCTTGGACGGTACAAGTACCACATTGCAATGTACTCTTCATGCGACTTCCCCAAGTACCTCAACATGTCCCCAGGTGATTCTTCCATCTTTATGCCCATGTGATTTAACTCGCAGCCTTAGCTTTTGAATTCTTTGTTGTCTGTTGGTTATATGTGCTTAGGACAACGTTTCAGTATTGACACTGTGGACATTGGACTGTTCGTGGCCATTAACTTTTAGCTGGTTTCATTAATCTTATAATCTAACTATGTTTTCCAATGTTTTGATTCGTACATGTTAATGCGTTAGAAACACACATGAAGCTGCAGCCCATACTTGTGCTGCCAGCATGGACCCTGTGTATGGAGACCTCACTTATACAGGCAGGCAACACGGAGTTCATGAACACACATCATATATTCTGTAACCTCAAGTTTCATATTGTGGTCAGATGCAAGTATGCAAGATGAAATAGCTGTTGATATTGTCAAAGATAGTCGAGGTGTATCATGAGGCCATTTTTTGTTTTTTGTGAAATGATCCCATATCTAGTTAACTTGTTCAGCACTTAGTGCTTATGATAACCGAGGCTGTGCATGATGAACTGACACATCCGTTCCTCCAACCAAACAGGAAAAACAATGATTTGTTGCTGCTAATTCAAATCTGTTCCATGAACCGAATTAAAGCCTCAACGGATATAGACAACCTCAAGTGGCTTATGCAGCATGAAATACCACAACTATCATGAAAATCCACTAATAACAGCAATCTGCTAGGGCCAGTGTCTTTTCATCTCATGTTGCTTGTCCTTTCGGCGAGTAAATTGCAGAAAACCACCACTTTGAAGGCAAGCTTTGCGAAAACCACTACAATACATTTTTTTTGCAAAAAACACCGTGCCTACCGTAATCTTTTTGCAAATAACACTGATCGGCGGATTTGCCTCTGTTGAGTATGTTTATGACAGATGGGGCCCGTCAGTCAGGCTGATGTGGCACCGCTTAACACCTCGCATATAACGGCGATGTTTGGGACGTTATCCTCTTGTGTGGAGCCCTGTGGGGTCCACCTGTCACTGAAACAAAAAATAAAAAATCTGGTTCTCGCCTTATCTTCACCAGCTCGCTGCCGCCCGTCCTGCCCCCATGGTCAACGGCGCATGCCCGAAGGCCCGCACCCGACGTGCGCCCGACGCCACCACGCGTTGACGAGCCGTATGGCACAACCCCGCCGATCTGACAAGGGGAGGGAGCAGCGGGCTGGCCCCCGACGTGGTTGCTTTGTCTCGTGCATCCTGACGGCTACCTCCTCCGAACTAGAGCCACCGTGGTTCTCGAGCAGGGAGTCACCGTCTCCTTCCTCAGCCACGGCGACCACCTTGCTCACTGGCTGCTGCAACTCCTACGTCGATGGCGGCTCGAGCGCAGAGGCAGCGGCACCAGCTGGATTGGAGCAGGGAGAATGGATCTGAGTGTGGAACTTGCCGGCGGCTCGGTTGCCATCGCCCGTCCCGACCCCAGCCGAGGCAAGGGCCGTCGTCGCTGTTGCCGCACCGAGGGGAGGCAGAGGACGCCGCCAGTCCCGCCCCTGGCCGAGGGGCGGCCTTCCGCCACGCGCCAAGGACGTCGTGCATCGCCGGGGTCGCCGACCTCATCCAAGTCCCGCCGACGCTCGCGGCCGTCGCTCGCGGCAGAGGAGCATGAAACCGATGTATAGAGAGGGCGGCGACTCGATTCTTGCCGGATCTGGGTGAGGGCTGGTTAATACGGCAGTGAATTTCGTGGAGCTCAGGGGCAATGGTGATGGGCGGCGCGGCGCTGCTGCATGTTGCTGGCTCGGGGGCAGAGAGAGAAATCAGGATGAAATGCTGACAAGTGGGCTCCATGTCCAGTAAAACAGTTGAACTTAACGGTGTTAGAAATTGGTGCCACATCAGCCTGATTAGTGGGCCCCATCTGTCATAAACATACTCAACAGAGGCAAATCCGCCGATCAGTGTTATTTGCAAAGAGATTACGGTAGACACGGTGTTTTTTGCAAAAAAAAATGTATTGTAGTGGTTTAGCTTGCCTTCAAAGTGATGGTTTTCTGCAATTTACTCTCCTTTCGGCCATGTGTGCTTGACCAACCTGCGCACATCCTCAGACACCATATTACCACTGCAGGATGGCCTTGCTATGCATGCTGTTTATGGCACACTGGTATAATTCGTTAGAAGAGATGAGAGCAATCCAATGATGTAATGATGTATCCTCCAATTTTTTTGATCCACTATCTGCTGACGCGGCAATAAAATTGCTCAATTGACAAGTTATACATGTTTCTTTCGCCGTTCTTTTTATCTAACTGTTTCGTTGTCCAAACTTTTGCAGGGGCAGACATGGATAATCCAGCGGACAAGTGCTCTAAGCGGTAATTCACACATAGCTAATTTTAGCTGTTCTAGTATTTTTTTATTTTTTGCATGATATCTATTTCATTTATGCTGCTGCTTCTGTAGGATGTCTGTTACCAGGTTGAGTGCAAAGCAGTGTGTGGTGCAAGTGCTGCGGACTCTAGACTGGCTTCAAGAACTTGGTAACTAATAAGCCTGACTTCTTGATATATGCTCTTTATTTGTCTTGGTTATGACATACTAGATGTGCAGCCAACATTCACCAAGTGCATGTTTAGACCGTTGATCTGCAATTAGTTTCTTAGCATCATCTGTGAATATCTGCTGAATTTAATCTGCAGTATTACTCTAAATGCTTGCCCATGTCAAGTATAATATGCTTGTAATTTTATGTGCTTTCACTCTTCATTTGTATGTCTGTAACTTTCTTGGTGAACATCGTAAGCAAGTGCAGCCCGTGTGATAGCATCATTAGCTCTGCAGATATATTTTCTTGCAAATTGGCTGTCATGACCAGGACATTCACATCTGTATGGTCAATTGCAGATCAATGCTTGGAAATTGAGAGGTCAACTGACAACACATACAGATTATTACTTCAGTTTTCTCCAGTATCATCTCTGTGTTCCAGTATCAGACCAGTAAGTTCTGTTATTGTATCCCACAGATATAGTCCAGGGCTTCATGTTACGAGTGTATCCTTATCTCTTTGATATAAACCCTTTGTGGTCAAGTTTCTTTTTCTGTTTCTTTGGACCACACACACAACTTCTCTTTGATAAGCTTCAGATTCTTCATTTATTTGTCCAAACTATTTAGGCAGCCGTGCTAGCGTGTTTATAAAGCAATTGCTTGATTTCAAATTATGAACCGTCAGCATTCTTGGGCAATTATTTAAATTCATGTTATGAATTCCCAGTGTGACTGAATCCTAAGAAAATCATGATGCAGATGGTAAAATATGCTTCCTGTAATGGTCAAGGTGAAGCTGCATCGAAGGCTGTGGATTTTTGCCAAAGGTATATAGATGAGGAAACCAGGCATATGTTTGTGAAATAAATTTTCCTTTATATCTGATCATAACGTCTGTTGTTTCCTAGAGCTTTGGAAGATTTCGACTTGGCTCTACATGGATCACTGAGTGATCCTTCAGCATCCGTTGAAGCCATGCGTAGCAAAATCAGTGATGTCATTCAAGCTTTGGACAAGTACAAGAAAATGAGTGGCCTCTCTTCTTTATTATTAAACGGAGCCCTTAGTGATTTTAATTTTATACCTGGTTCAATTGTTTCAGCATCATGCAAATTGTGCCATCAACACTGATACCGAAAGAAAAGATGCTTGGAGATGCCAGCGACCAAAAAAGATCAAAGGCAACATCTGAAAATCATGAGAAGCCATTCGAGGCAAAGAATACAGTTTATGGGTGGCTGCTACTGAGATTGATGTCCTTTCATCGGGAGTGGTATCAAGTTCGCAGGAGATGGATGATAGCTAGCCGTGAACAATGACGAGCCGTGGTCAAGGATAAACGTGGCAAGTAGCAGCAACGGAAATTCAAGCCCACTAATTCTCAAAGAGAAAAGGACCTGATATCGATGCCCGTGGTTGTGTCATCTTCCCACCGTGATGTAAGGGAGTCGGTATCTTACTGATATGGAATGTCTGTAGAAACATATAAGCTTGTTGTAGATGGAGTGTTGAATTATGGTTTCGGCCGTGATTAATGTATGGACATGATGCTTATGTGAAGGTGCTTACTCAATTTTTGCGTGCGCTGTTGTTTCCTGTATCATAAGATGGGCTCAAGTCATGTGGTCCATGTATATTATCTGCATTTTGCAAAAATAAAAAAGGAAAAACAGGGGTTATGACTTTGAAGTTTATTGCGAACAGAGAATGAACTTGAAAAAAGGCGACCATTATGTGTCGGAGAAAAAATGCTAGAGAAATAATGGACATACCAGAAACATTGGTAGCAAATGACTAATCGAGAAGCTGGGAGCCCCAGCCTCCTTATGTTTGTACTTCTTCACCTCTGTCAATGCAGCAGCCAAGATGTGCTCGTCTCACACAAACTCGTCGAGTTTAGCCATATCCTTCAGGCTAGCAAGGTACTCAAGGGCACCGTGTTGCCGGTGCTAGGCACATAAAAGAACCCAAGACCTCTCGATGGTCACAGTGTCGTCGTCCCTCGGCTTCTCAAGTACTCCCTCGGTCACGGTTTAGAAGGCACAGTTAAATTTGCGTGCGTTTCCACAATAGACAAGGTTTAGGGCGCATTGCATTTATTTTTAGTAGCTAATTAGTACTCCGGAGTATTATTTCTATATGCATGCGTAGTGTGAATGCTATTTTTTAGCCCATCTCACAACCAATAGATAACCACCTAGGTCCCAGAGAATTTCCAAACGCGTCTTCAAAACCGTGACGGAGGGAGTACAAATATATCCTTCTTTATTAGAGCCATTCTCCCTTTTTGATAAATGTCACGCAACTCACAAGGTTCATTCCTATTCAACAGCTCCACCGGCCTTGTCTCGGATGGGACATAGAAAAAATCACACCATGTCTCTGTAAACAATAGTCTTCAATTTAGTCTCCTTTCTATGACTGAAAAAGCAGAAAGACACATGTCATTCAGAAAAGCAAAAATCCAAAAAAAAAATGCGATGAGTGGGGGCATTTTTTATACCTAAACAAACCATGCTGAGGGTCAATCTTCATGACTACCCCGCAGCAGTGGAGCGTCGCCGTTGATGCTCTGAGACATGGATGCTGGCGTCTCCACTCCCCGTAGCAGCCTCGGCTTCGCCGCCGCGGAAGCTCGCAGCTGTGAAGACAGTCGCATCAGGTTGTGCCGCCAGATCTAGGAGGTTGTCGTATTTTTGTTCGCGAGAGAAAGAGAAATGCGTGCGGTGTGACCTTTTTGCCAGCGAGGAGAAGGAGCGTCGCGCGAGACAGACCAGGCGCCGCACGATCGTGACCGATCGAACGGCTCGTGAGGCGGATGACGCGACAGAGTAATCAGTCGCGCAAAAACAAACGTTTTCCTTGATATAAGTCCACTTATGTGTCTAACAGTTCAATTCAAGAAAGGTTTTCTGAAACAAAAATCACTTATCGGTCTAACAGTTTAAGAACAGTTTAGCTAAATGTCAATCGTCTGAAAAGCTGGTGATCAACGGACCGATCTTTCACTAACATCCGCCGGGTCTTACGTCTGCCACACGTCTTCATGGGTCCGTGCCACGGCATCTCAATTCATCCTTATCTCCACTAAAATGCTAGCCACATATAATCTTGCAACTGAGCACTAGTGCAAACCCACCCGAAAGGAACCGCGTGCGTGAGGAAGGGCAACGACGACAACACAACCTCCGCTGGCGGTGGCCTCCCCGACCATGGCCGGGCGACCAGGGCGGCCGGGAAGAGCCATGCCGCCTACGCCGCAACGTGATCCCAACCGAAGCTCCCACCGCCGGCGGCGAAGCGGGTGCAGGACCAGCGCAACAACACCGCCGGGTCGGCCTCGCGCAGTGGAAGCCGTCCATGCCCGCCAGGGCGTGCGGATGCACGCCGATAAGTTTATGCAACAATGACGGAGTTGGAAAACGCCGACGGCAACGACGATGGTGCGCTACAACATCCTTTCATTGCAAAAAAAATCTGCAACATCATCCATGTTGCAAAAGTTCTTTCTGCAACATCATCTCTTTTACGAAAAAATGAACCTGGAGAAAAACATCTGTTACAAATTTTTCTGCAACATGAGCTCTGTTCCAAAGGTTTCTACAACAATGTCTTTGTTGCAATAGTGAGGACGGAGCTAGGTCGTTCGATAACGCTGGATCTAATGGCTGTCGAGGCGGCGGATCTTTTAAAAAAATCTGCCAGTCGACGCGTAGCACAACCCTTTTGAAATAGGGTCAATCGGTTTTCGAGAGATAGCCGGAGTGAGCCAGAGGTAAGGAAGGAGAAGGAAGGGGCTCGCCGGAGGGCTACCCCAGTATCTATCTTAGGGTTCAGGGTGGGGGCGGTGGTGGACGGCGGTGGTGCACTTCGCTGGAGAAAAAACTTAAACTAGGGCGGGCCTAGAGGGATGGTCGGGGGCGGCGGCTAGACCGGCGGTGGGGGCGGTTTCGGGGAGGGCGGGGCGGCGCGGGAGTGCCGCCGGCCGCGGGTGGTGGTTGTTGGTGTCAAAACCGGCGGATCTCGGGTAGGGGGTCCCGAACTGTGCGTCTAAGGCTAATGGTAACAGGAGGCGGAGGACACGATGTTTACCCAGGTTCGGGCCCTCTCGATGGAGGTAATACCCTAGTTCCTGCTTGATTGATCTTGATGATATGAGTATTACAAGAGTTGATCTACCATGAGATCATAGAGGCTAAACCCTAGAAGCTAGCCTATAATTATGATTGTTCTTGTCCTACGGACTAAACCCTCCAGTTTATATAGACACCGGAGGGGGCTAGGGTTACATAGAGTCGGTTACAAAGAAGGAAATCTACATATCCGAATTGCCAAGCTTGCCTTCCATGCAAAGGAGAGTCCCATCCGGACACGGGACGAAGTCTTCAATCTTGTATCTTCATAGTCCAACAGTCCGGCCGAAGTATATAGTCCGGCTGTCCGAGGACCCCCTAATCCAGGACTCCCTCAGTAGCCTCTGAACCAGGCTTGAATGACGATGAGTTCAGCGCGCAGATTGTCTTCGGCATTGCAAGGCGGGTTCCTTCTCCGAATACTCCATAGAAGATTTTGAACACAAGGATCGTGTCCGGCTCTGCAAAACAAATTCCACATACCACCGTAGAGAGCACAATATTCCACAAATCTAATCTGCTGACAACTTTTCATAGCGTGACATCACGCCACGGCCCGGTCATTATTCGAACCGTTTTCCTCAACCAGCTATTGCACATATTGCGAGGCGGTTTCCTTGGCACGTCATGTCGAAGCAGAGATTGTGTCCCCTTATCACGGGATTCTCATCAATACGGTTGTGGGTAATCCAACCGCGCCATCAATCGCGGCGCTTGGGGAATAAGCGATTTTACGGGGCAAGTGGGGAGGCGCACAGTTTCTACGCCTTTATAAAGGGATAAGGATTCCTCTTTTTCACCCACACCTTCTTCTTCCCCTGCCCATCCATTCTCACACGCTAGAGCTCCAGCGCCTAGGTTCTCACCTTCTCCTCAAAGCCATTCCAAACATGTCCGGAGCGGGAGGCAAGTGGATGGCCTCCTCCGTTACGGAGGAGAACATTACGAAGCTCCGGGAAGCCGGATACCTGGCCGCAAACATTGCGCACCGGCTCCCGAACGCAGGGCAGATCGTCCCTACTCCAGAATCCCATAAGAAGGTCGTGTTTCTTGCCCACTTCGTCCGCAGACTGGGATTCCCCCTCCATCCATTTGTCCGCGGGCTCATGTTCTACTACGGGCTGGATTTCCATGATCTGGCCCCCAATTTCATCCTTAACATCTCGGCGTTTATCGTTGTGTGCGAGGCCTTCCTCCGCATCAAGCCCCACTTTGGCATGTGGCTGAAGACCTTCAACGTGAAGCCGAAGATAGTGGTCGGCCAGCAAGCGGAGTGCGGAGGCGCCATGGTGGGCAAGATGCCCAACGTCATTTGGCTCGAAGGCTCCTATGTGGAGACCGTGAAGGTGTGGCAATCGGGGTGGTTCTACATCACCGAGCCGCGCGATGCGAACTGGGCGGCGGCCCCAGAATTCCGATCCGGCATCCCCATTCAGCTCACCTCCTTGAAAGAGAAGGGCTTAGCCTGGGGTGCGTCGGTGGAGCTGACCGGTCTCCAAAACTGTGTCAAAAATATGATAAGCAAGAAAATTAAGCTTGTCAATGTGGTCCAGGTCATGCTCTTCCGCCGAAGCCTCCCGTGTCAAAGACGGGCATTCAATATGTGGGAGTTCAATCCGGCCAAACACTAGACCTGCAAGAGCTCTTCGACATGACGCACATAGACGTCCGGAAGGTGTTGTTTAAAGCCGCCGAAGTACCTCCTCCCATAACCGAGGATCGCGGACTCAGCGCAAAGCGCCCCGGCAATCCGGTAAGCTCTTTATATCTCACAAGATGTGCCTTTCCCCAGTATATTCGTGGGAGGAATCTAAGCCTCCACGCTAATTTAACAGGACTGGGTAGCGACAGCGGAGCGGATTGACTGTCCGGCTCCACTACCTGAGGATCCAGCAACGGCTCTCCTAACAGAGATGTTGTTTCCGGCGCCCTATGAGGTGCCAGAGAAGAAGGCCAAGAAGAAGGCCATGGGGACTAGGAAAGGTCTTAGGTGCAAGGTAGTCTCGGACTCATCCTCCGAAGACACCGAGGCGCGCTCCTCCAACGAAAACAAGGAGGAGGAAGAGGAAAGTCCTCCCCCCCAACCAGGGGGGACAAGAAAAGGAAGGCCGCCACGTCTGGGGAGGCCGAAGGATCCAAGAAGGGGAAGACCCTCCCTCCGGACCACTCCACAACAGCTGCCTACA